CAAACTATGCAATTAGTTTTTTTTTCGTCTACATTTAATATTTCATACACATATCGCAAGATTCGATATGATGGCTACTGTAACCCTTTTTTAAAAAAAAATTTAGAACTAAACGTGGCCCAAGTAAAGTAAACCCATACCAAAACAATGCAAGGAGCCAAGATTCTCTGACCCCAGGAAGACCGTAGAAGCTAAGGGCGACATGCTCGTCGCTAGGCGCTAGCTATTCTCTGACGTGGATGAGAGAGAATCATAAGAAAACTCGTCGCTGGTGACATGCTCGTCGCTAGGCTCGCACACTTCCCCAAGAATCGCTGGTCTCTGCTCTTGCGGCCCACATCATTAGCTGTGCAGTCTAAGTAAGTATTTTATTGTTTTGTTCGTACACCTCAGCCAGCGATTTAGGACTTATTTAGATTCAAGTTTTTTTACTCTCTCCGTCACATCAAATCTTTAAACATATGTATGGAGTATTAAATATAGATAAAAAAATAACTAATTACACAGTTTGATTGTAAATTACGAGACGAATCTTTTGAGCCTAGTTAGACCATAATTGGACAATAATTATCAAATACAAACGAAAGTACTACAGTATCAAATACTGATTTCTAACCCCAATCTAAATCAGGCCTTACAGGTTTTGTTGGGGACGCCCTAAGCGCTGATACTGATTGCTGATAGACAAAATTGTGAACATATCAAAATTAGCCCTTCAATCCCCCAAGCATAGCATATTGCAATTTTAAAACGATCCCAGCACAAATCTTACACTCCCACTGCCCATCACTATCAGTGCACCAATTAAAGTACGAGTCTTTTCACTATGTGTCATTAAAAATGTTTGCAATTCCATGTGTCATTAATAAAGTTCACAGCTATCATTCAGAATTAGCCTTAGTTTTTCAGCCTAAACTAATGTTTATCTCTCCTAATAAATCAACCGCAAGTTGAGCTGACACGGGTGCCGAACTTTTTTGTCCTCCCCATCATTCCTCGAGACCAAAACAATGCAAAGAACGAAGATTTTCTGACCCCAGGAAAGACCGTAGAAGCTAAGTGCTGATACTGATTGCTGATAGACAAAACCCGCTCACATTTTATAGTTTTCTGGCAGATCAGACGGTTATGAGGCAAGTGAAAGTGTGAAACACTACACAGTTCCATAGAATGGAGGATCACGCAAGTACATTTGCATCCAAGTCTCAGGGTTACAAAATAGAAGCCATCGTCATACTTTCTGAAGGCCTCTTGAGCTTGAGCACAAGTAAGATTTGCAGTGTCCATGGTCCCTCTCTGCAAACTAATATCAAGATATGAATAAATCGAACCTCAATCACTGAAAAGGACACTAAACCAACCCAATTGCAATCCGCATAAGTAAAATAACCAAAAGGCCATTTTTGGCAGCAAGAGAAGGTTGCAAATTACAATGACTCCATCAGGTGCCCATCAGTGTCCCTTTCCTCCCTGACGAGGATGACACCACTGGCAAGGATGGCGGTTTGTATGGCCCAAGCAGTCCTGGGCCTCCACTTGGTGGTGCCACTGTTACGGCAGTCGCTGGTTTTCGTGAGGCCACTGCTACTTCCATCGGCACAGACACAGCTGCCGGAGTGAGGGGAACGGCAGCGGCATCCCCGGACGCCAATGCAGTGCTCAATGTTGCAGCCGCAAGAGCAGGATTCTGGCCAAGCAACGCTGCAGCCTGTGCTGGGTCACGAGCGTAAGCTGCAAGGTCTACCACGCCAGCGGCCGCGGCGGCATCAAGCACCAGCTGCCGTACCGCCCGCGGTGGTGGCGTTCCGGCAACCGAAGCTGACACCACCGCCGGCGGAGGCGCCAGGGTGCCTTGGTCTTCCGCAAGGGTTCGTTGGCGAGCTGGCAATGCAGCGTGCGCCCCTCGAACACGCGGTACGGCTCCTCGACCGCCTTCGCGGCGCCGGCCGCCGCCTGGTACACGAACAGCGCGTACCCGCGGGACGCCCCGGTGTCGGCGTCGAAGCCGAACGGCCCGCCCTCGAGCTCCCCCGAACCGCGCGAAGAACGCGCGCAGCCGCTCCGCGCTGGCGTCCGGCGCGACGTTGGTCACGTACACCCGCCGCCCGGCGCCCCCGCCCCAGCCAGACGGGTCGGGGCCGGCCGATGCGAACTGGACGGAGACGGGGAGGCCGGCGACGGTGACGCGCGGGGCCTCTCGAAGCGCGCGGCGCGCGGCGGCGCGGGAGGCGAAGGACACGAAGCCGTACCCTTTGCAGCGGCCCGACGACCCCGAGGCGCGGTGGTCCGCGACGGCGTGGCAGTCCGCGAGGGGACCGAAGCGGGAGAAGGCCTCCGCGAGCGCGGCGCCGTCGGCGTGCGGCGGAAGGCCGTGGACGAAGAGCCGGCGGTGGGAGGGCGACGCGGCGGCGGCGGCGCCGAGGCGGGCGCGCAGCGCGGGGTCGGCCGTGGCCGCCTCCGCGAGGATGGCCACGAGGCGGGGCTTCGAGTGGGGCTCGACCAGGCGGCGAACGGCGTCCGGAGTGGACGGCGGCGAGGGGTCGGATTCGGAGTCGGATCCGGTGGTGCGGGCAGGGTCCCGGCGTTTGCGTTCGCGGGTGGAGATGGAGGGCTGGGGATGTGGATGGAGGTGGTGGTTCTCGCCGGGTTCCTTGGCCGCTCTTTCCTTCTTCCTCTTCCCCATTGCGGCGGGCCAGGTCGGATGGGTCGCCGCCGCCGGTGGCGAGGTGTGTTGGATCGCCGCTGCCTGCCAAAACGGAGACAGTCCACTCACTCACTGCATAGAAAGCAAAACACAGTTATATTAAAAAAGACCTTAATCTCGTTCTGTCTGGGTGGTATAGTTGGTCTTCGCGTTTAGTCTCACACGCTAGAGGTCCCTAGACATTTTTTTGTTCTTCTGTTTTTCAACGTATCGAAGGGCAGGCCGGTTGCAAGCGATATAGAGTATTACCGTCTCGGTTTGAGTCGCGGTCTCCTCGTATTGCACAGGCGAGGGTAAGGCTCGCCACTAACACCCTTTTTCAGACCCCGCACAGAGCGAGAGCTCTCTGTACTGGTTACGCCCTTTTTTTTGTTTTTCAACATATCCTTTCAATTTTGTTTTCCAATTTTCAACATATCCCCTCTCAATTTCGTTGTTCAATTTTCAACATATCCTTTCAAAAAAAAATTCTGTTTTTCAACATAGCTTTTAAATTTTAGTTCAATTTTGTTTTACAATTTTCAACATATCCTTTCATTTTTTTCTGTTTTTCAACATATCCTTTTAATTTTTAGTTTGTCCCATCATAGTATTGCAATATTTCATCTGCACAAAAGCATGCATTTAGTTTTTTTGTTTGCCTATGATAGTATTGCAATGTTTTTTTTAACATATCCTTTCAATATTTAGTTTGCCCCAGTATTGCAACATTTCAGCAACCCAAAAGCATGTATTTTGTTTTCTCGCCAAAACAAAGCATGTATTTTGTTTTTTGTACAACAACAAAATGTGGATTACCTCTTTTTCGAGCAAAAGACTTTCAGTTCAGATTCATGGCAAACTCCCATTCTTTTTTCACCTGTTCAGTCCCCACATATATCAGATTACTCCATAAGACAATCAGGAGTTTGGTTGAGTTGAGAACTGAACAGCGTGCATGATTATTCCAGGGAAATCAGACTTATCAAATGGCATGTTTGCATTATAATATAAGCTTAATGGCATGCTAAAAAAATAGCATGTTGATCTGAAGCTTAATGGCACGCATTACAAATCACAAAATCAATTCAGATGGTAGTTCACAGAAAGAGCATACATTCCATTTGCTTCAGGAGCATGCGACTAAGTACATGGACAAGAAAAGCATCCAAGCCATAAGATGATTGCATTATAATATAAGCTTGCCACAGTTCCACATGGACCATTCCAATTCCAACACAAAATAACATAATAGATATATGCCTAATTAACATCCAACACGTTTCAGATCAGACTGATACCCTTGTACTTGTAGTAAGTTGAAATCACTACCCTCAAGCAACAGGCTGACAAATTGAGCATGAAAATATAAACACCAGGCTTACTGAGATCACAATCTCAGTGATAAGCACCGATCAAAGCGTTTAACAGCCGGCAATCTCAATGACAGCATCACTTCAGACCTGAGGGAAGAGCCACGTTGCAGGTACAGAGCGACGCTCAAAATGCACACTGGGTACAAAGGAAGATAATGCGGTCCCCCGGCATCTCCTCTGGAGAGACGCGAATGAACCTGGAGCACCGCCTCCGCAGGAAAAGCACTTGGTCATCGCCAATGGTCGTCACCTTGGTCCACTTTGACTGCTGGAAGTCCGCCATGAACACCTCAAACTCCCACCCGGATGCGATAAATGTGCCCGCCACTAACCATCTGGGTCCGATCCTCCCCTCTCCGTATGTCTTCCTGTGCACCATCAGCAACGTGCCATGTGATTCGAATTCAACCAGGTAGAGCATCTTCTGATGTTCATTTAGGCATATGCCCCTAATTGCAGGACGAGGAATCAGGACGCTGCTGATAACCCGTCGAACTTGACAAATCCATGGATCTCCCGTTCTGTGGTGCACACTGATGTCCATTGCAAAAAGGCAATGGTCGTCGTTATTGAGGATGTAGGGCGTGTTCGCTGGTCTGGTCCATCCAGACCAGCCAGCTGATCTCCCTCAGTAAGCACTATTCATCAACCAGTCGCTACAGTATTTCTCTCTCACAAAACCAGCCAGTTTCAGCCAAGTTTCAGACCAACGAACGGGGCCGTAGAGCTTTCCTTGGTGGAATGCCCTATCATCAGACAGCTCAAACCGGTGATCCACATGTACCGACCACCAGGAGGCCGCCCCTGGCTGGCACACTGCAACCTTAGTGCTGTACTGAAACGTGATGAATGTGGCGATGAGTTGGCGGGAGCAAAATACCGGTTTGTACATAGTAAGCTTCTCGGGGGCCTCCTCGATTTCAATCCATGAGACGCGTGTCTCACTGAGGCGACATGGGGCTCGGACGCGGAACACCTGAGGAAGTGTCACGGTGGCGTTGGAGAACGGATCCCTCAGGAAGCAGCCGTCCTCGGTTGAGAAGGCCAGCCAGTTGCCACAGGTCCCTGCATAGGCTGTGCACGATGCCGTCGGGGAGCGCGAGCAGCGGCAGCGGCGAGGGAAGAGGGACCTCCCGGGCGGCGGCGCGCCACTGTGGGCACGGCGGCGAACCGGACGCGGTCCACGTGCGAGGGCAGGTGGCGGAGGACTCCAGTGGGATGTCCGACCAGGACGACGGCAGCGCCATCGGGTGTGCGACGCTGCGAAGACAGTAGCGCAGGAGTCAGGAGTGAAGAGACATCGAAAATCAAAAGACGGAAAGCACAGCGACGACGACGACGAAGAGGGCGGCGTGAGCACGCAGGCAATTCGTCGAACACCACGCGTGCGCGACCACCGGCGAGATCAAGACAAGCGAAGGGATGAAGGAGCGGGGAGTGCAGGCGGGCGAAGGTGGGGTGGATTACCGGAAATCGGCTACCGTAGTGGAAGAATCGTACTCCGGGCTCCCGCCGGCGTCAGAGGCAGTGGCGGCGGCCGAGTGAGGTTGTGGACCGGAGTTGCGGGATTGAATGTGAACGGAACCGTCCAATTTGTGCCTAGTGGGCTTTTAACCCTAGCGGGCTTTTAACACCGCTTGACCTATGGAGGTGGTGGCGTGTTGGCAAAAATAATAATAATAATAATAATAATAATAATAATAATAATAATAATAATAATAATAATTTGGCTATGCTTTAAAAAAGGTAATTTGCAGATAAAAAGGTAATTTGGGCTTTTTTCTAAAACAAAAGTAATTTGTGCTTTTGTTTTTACATATAACTTCTACTAGTTATCTCTCGGTGATTATTTCGACTACTAATAACACTCTACTGGTTTGGGTATCAAGAGTGTTTCTAAAATTTATTCTTTAAATCATCATTCAAAGAGTCATTTGAGTAAAGATCGCTTTATATATCTTTATACTCTCCGAAAGCTTTTCTATATCTCAGATCGTAGTCCAGAGAGCTATCATCGCTCTTTATCTTTGGCCAGCGAGAAATCCGGAATAGAGAATGTCTATATTTGAATATCCAATTGAAGAGTCTATTGGAGAACATTTTTCACCAAAATCTTTATTTCTGTAAATTAGGAAGAATATAAAGAGTCTCTTAAAGATGCTCGTGATACTGTTAAAGTTATGCATGATAATTGGAAAGAAGCAATTGACAATGATAATAATGACAACTAGTTGCTAAAAAGCTGGTTGTAATATGCACTCATCCTATCCCAAAGAATGCCTTCGAGATACTAGTTCAAAGGTCTTGAGATTCACAAAATCATCAAAGATTTTTAACCGTTGACGAACACACTACTTATCACTGAAGGAATAATTAGCTAGATTTAAGTACATGTGGACAACTTCCTTAGATAATGGATTAGAACAAATGAGCTGCTCCATAATTTTGCATCATGTTTATTTTCCTTAGATAATGGATGAGATCAACTCTCTATTTTTTTAACATTCTGGAAGAATTTAATTCTCAACGCATATTTTAAACCCAAGCAAATACTGTCAAGAAAGAACCATACGTTAAGGAGGCAACACTACATGTTAATGATCATCCATGTAACACCCTAGGTGTTTGACTTCTACAAAATTGTATTTCAATTCTTAAACATGTGCATCATCTATCTCATCATGCCATTGTCACTGAAACATGCATATGCAACATTCGCAATTATGTTTGTTTCATACTTGATTGCTTGTGAATGGTAGTAGTGCAACATGTGAATGCAACATGAGTTTCTTATACCTTGAAACATGGCAACATGGTAGGAATGTGGCAAGTTAAAATTGCAACAAAAGTAATGAAACATGTGAAACATGGAATTGCAACATTTGAGTGAATTGCTTGTTTTGTTGCTTCATCACATGTGATCATTAGAAATTGGTATAGCACTTGTGTAAAGTGGTTGATTATGGTCTAATACACCTTAACTACACTTAGGGTAATTGTTTGGACATTGTTCATGTGGACCAAAATGACCAAATTGCCCTTTAGGAGAGGTTTGACTTGAAATGAACCTCAGAGTGACACTGTTTGACTAATTCAAAAGTCCAACTTAGAGATCTTGCATGGCTGTGCACTCTTTACCAAAGTTGTAGCTAATTTATCAAGGAACAAAAGTTGTTTTATGATCAACTCATGAAAATGTGTGGAACAGCCTCAAACATGGCCCACAAGTCATTGTTGATGGTGGATTCAACATCGAAAAATATTTCTAAGTCCTTAAGTGATTTTAGTTTTCGTGTACCAATGTTTGGAGGCTTGTATCTCCCTAACCAGGCCGAACCAACTCGAGTTCTAATTGAAGAAGTTGTAGTACTCACTTAGGTCTTCAATTTTGTTAACTATACCATGAACCAGATCGCCACCGTTTGGGAGTTATGGATCGTTGAATTCGCGCTGTCAGTCATAGCCATTGAACACTGAATCGAAAATTTCAGAAAACGGTCAGAGCACGCCGTGGCCGACTGGCATAGGAGCTGATCGCCGTGTGGCGCACATGCTCTGCTGACGCCTCCACGTCGCGCGTCCGAGCTCCAGATGAAAGCCAGCGCCTGCCCGACGCACTCGCCTGCTCCATTTGCACTCTTTCGTCTCCACCGCGCGCAGCGCCGAGCCACCGCAGCTCCTCCAGTTTCGACCAAGCGTCGCCGTTGCTTTGCGCGCTCGCCACTACAAAAACGCGCCGGCCATCTTGCCCCTAGCTTCGCCGTGATCTCCTCTACCACCTCCACCTTTCAGTCGGTCCATTTGAGCCTTGGTAAGGGTGAAATCACCATTTCTTCCACCGCCGCCATGGCGGGACCTCGCCGGAGTTGGCGCTCCACGCGGCCAACTGTCACCGTGACCTTCCCATCCCTTCTCTCCCTTGCGCGAGCTTCTGTGAACGCTACTGAAGCTCATAGGGTCACACACTAGGGCAGTGGCGCCATTGTCTCACCGGAGGCGGCCATGCCGTGGCCGTGCGCCGCCATGACCGTCGCCACCCCCTTTAGCTGCGACAATAGCTTCAATAGATGGCACCGTTAGATGCGCATTGATGAGGCTAACGCCGTAGCACCGCTGGACTCATCGGAGATGCCACCGGCGACGCGTTGCGCCGCCATCTCTTCTTCCTCCCCTACCTGTCTCTCTGTCGGGCGGGTCCCGTATGTCAGTCGCTGCAGTGGAGGCGGGAGCCAGCCTAGGCCGCGTCGTGGCTGGGCTGCGCTTGCACATGTGCTGTGGGCCGCTGGGTCTCTTTGGGCCGGCCCAGCAGTAGTTCATTAGGGTTTCAAATTGTTTTGTTTTATTCTTTTCACAGATTGGTGTATAGATTCAAAAATATGTATCTCCTAGTTGGTAGATTCAAATGATGTGGTTCCAATTTTGCTGAGTTCATGATAATGTCTAGTTTTTATTAAAAATATAATTTATGCTATGTTCTGTTATGAAAAATGGAGTTGCTAATTATCTCTTTTAATCATGAAAGAAATAGGGGTAATTATATATTTTTCTATGTAGCTCCAAATGGCATGAAATTTTTATGGTGTACTGCTCATATCATGACTAGCTTGTAGTTAAATTTTCATATATTTTGAACACTGTATGTAGGAGATAGAAAATTCTCTTATTTGCATGGATGGGTCTTGTGTGAATTTTCATAATTTTTCTATAGATCCAGTAAGGGTAAAATTTGGTGAGTGCTGTTCTTATACTAGAATGATGCTAGGAAAAATGAGAAATCTGTTGCTTGACACTTTTCAATAGGGTTTCGTAATTATGCTAAAAATAGGCATGCCACCTATTATTTTGGATACAGCAAGTTCTGCTTGCCTAATGGCTTTGAAATTTTTAAGGTAGTCTATGTGAAGCATGAGATAGCTACTGTAATTTTTGTAGATTTTTCTGAACAGTTTTGCTATATATTGCTTTAATCACCTAATTAACTAAATAAATTAGAAAAGGACATTAAATAATTTATTTAGAGGTTGGCACTATACTTTCTGATATTCCTTTGGTATGTGCAACAAGTTGGTAAACTTGGTTTGTAATATTTTATTTGAACTCTGATGGATGTAATCCGAATGCTACTTGTGAAATGTTGTAACGAATGATGTGTTGTGTTGAATCACTACGGTCTTGGTTTGTATGTCGAGAGTTGGTTGAAATCCTTCGTGATTTCCAGACTACCGGGATTATGGGAGCTTAAGTATAAGAATTTGATCACTTCGGTGATTGTTTTTGTACTTACGTTCTTATGATTTGGTCGGTTCTGTTACAGCTGGCATCAGAGCAAGATTCGACACTAAACATGTCATTTGTGTATTTAAAACAAAAGTATTTGTGAAAATCCTAAATTAAATACTAAGTATTGCCAGTGGTCATATCCCTTATACCCAAATAAGGACTCTTAGGTGGTTTATTAAAGTACTAACTTGGGGGTTCCTGCTTGTTTCTGTTTCGTTGTCCATACGGCGAGCTATTGTATGGATGCCATCCGCTTGGGTGGTAATGTATGGATTCAAATACATCTACGCTCTGGTAAGTGGAGAGTTGTGAGAGCATGATCGTCCAACCGTCGGTCTAGGGGAGAGTAGTTGTGGTTGCTCGCATACTACATGTTCGATCATGTATCTATGAGAGTACTCAAATGTGAGTATCTCTGACGGGTAGGTGTAATACTAGAGTATATGCATCGGGGGATGTATGTATGAAAGTATTTAGTTTACTGCTTACTTTACATGCCTTTTTGGGAAATTATTGGGCTGAAATGAAGTTTTCTGCAGGTACACTAACAACGTATCGTTGTAGATCGACTAGATACCGTATACGAGAGAACGTATGTCTGCCACCGTATATTCGCTAGCCTTTAAATTTTTCTAGGGTCGTGAGGACGTACGGATCGTGCATGCATCATGTTCAAGCATACATAGCATTTTTGTATTACTCCCTCCTTTAAAATATGATTGTCCCGACTAATTAAATTTCGTATCCCTTAAATGATTCTCCCCTTACGTTGCAACTTTTTGCTACAGATGGCGCGCACGAAACTCACTGCTCGCAAGTCCGTTGGAGGCAGGGCGCCTCGTCACCGGTTAGCTCCTTGTGAGCCCCGTCCGGAGCCTACTAAAGCGAAAAGGCTGAGGGTAGAGCTGGCCCGGGTGACTGCTGAGAGGAATGCGGCTCAGCACCGTTTGGAGCAAGTAACACAGGA